AGATACTTTTATTCATCAGAAAATTTTAAAATTTCACATCTTTATAATGTCCAGATAGTTATCAAACGGTGCTTAAGAAAAAAACTTTATATTTTATCTGTTATTTTCACTAACAAATCTCTGTACGGGTTTGGTAGATTTGACCGATCTTATAACCACTATAGAAAATTAGGAAATAAATATAAATTATGCCTCTTTCATTGGAATGACAACAAGTTATAACACGAAAACATAAATGTTTAGATTAAATAGCTTAAATCTCATAACATTATACATTTATATATATATATATATATATTTTTTATCATATTGAACTTTCACCTGCGCCTGGCTAACAATACAGAAGTTACAATGATGCAACACTCATACTCTCATGTTACCGTATCGAATAATATAAAACTGACCTTTAGTCTTTTCAAAGTGACCTGTCTTGGCTGTGTTTCAGTAGACTAGTATTTTATAAAATACAGTCACATTTCAATTATTCTACATTGTATATGTATATAGATTATTGCTATTTTTAAATAAGTTCTTAAATTTATTCTTTTTAAAACCTAGAACAGTAACTAAAGACATAAAGCAAACAATTATATATTCTAGTTATGACCTTTGTATTCGGTTGCTGCTTCACATAGGTTGCTAAGCTTTTTAAAATTTTGCACGTGGAGGATACGAAACAGAATAATATTTTTTAGGTTTTATATATATATACAGTTGAATAATTAAAAAATCATAAATTACTATATCAATACCAGAGAATTCCATTATAATTTATCAAGCTTAGTAACAGCTATATTTGGGTCTAAAAAAATATGAAATTTCAAGCAGACTAAGGACACAACCTACCTAGTTGAAATATTGGTTCAAAAGAAAGAAATGGTGCGAAGCCCATTAAAATGACTGAGAAAGCCAGTAGGGGGACATTCTGAGCTTTCAATTGGCTATTCACATCATATATTGAAGTAAGTGTATATAGGGGACTGTTTCCAAAATTGAAAATAGGTGAGTGGGGTCACTGTGTTTGATTCATTACATGAGTGATATCTCAGCAAAGAGAAAAGGTTCATATTTTATATTCTAGCTTATCAATATCAGTAATTTGAGTTCCTAATTTGTACAAAACTAGAGACTTAGTATTTTGACATCACAAGCATCTAATTTGAACTAGTGCTGCATTCAACATATCACGTGACACAATGTTTAACTGTTTTTTTTTAATATTTACTTTTAGACTAAGAAAATAACTAATGTATAATACTAATATTTGGATTATAATCTACAGTTTGATACCAAACTTATTGACATAAGTTCATGAAATAGTAGTTCAATAAAATTCTGAGTGCAAAGCAACAAACGTGATGACATGGCCTTTGTTTGACCCATGACCCATCTAGAGAGGGTTAATATATGTTTCAAGTCAAGGTCAATGGAGATGTAGGCCATTATTTAGAAATTTCTATAGGGTTTATATTGAAAATGTCAAAAATGAATTAAAAAATATTTCTTTAAATCAATCAAGACAATACTTTCATTCATTACATGTAACTCTTACTGATTACTAAGTTTCAACTTCAGATTACACCTGAAAGCGACTAATGAAAACTGATTAACAAGTTTCAACTTCAGATTACACCTGAAAGCGACTAATGAAAACTGATTAACAAGTTTCAACCTCAATTACACCCGAAAGCTACTAATGAAAACTGATTAACAAGTTTCAACTTCAGATTACACCTGAAAACTACTAATGAAAACTGATTAACAAGTTTCAACCTCAGATTACTAATGAAAACTGATTAACAAGTTTCAACCTCAGATTACACCTGAAAACTACTAAGGAAAGCTGATTAACAGCTATAACCTCAGATTACATGTAAGAGATACTTATAAAGCTACTAACAGGTTATATATGAAAGTAACTAACAAAAGTAACATGAAAGTAGTATTTCCCTCTGTTCAGAATGATAATATTAAACTGGAAAATCTGTGGTCATTTCTATTTACATCTTTTTTAGTGATTGTCGATTTGACTTAAAAGATGTGTATATATTTAGAATATCTGATTTCTGTTAACCATAGATCAACTTTAAAAACAAATTCAATAAATGTATAAATATGTTGTTAGGGTGAAGATATAGAACAGGGCAAACAAAGACAGGACAAGCAGCTCCAAGTAATTGATGGTAGGTTGTTTTTAGTGTGAACTTTTATACCGAAATAATGATGTACATTAAAATGTGTGGATTTCATATTTTTAATCATCTAATAAAGATTTGTTTCAGTTATTGTGTGAAAGATATGGATTTATTATCAAGAAACATGAAAACATGTTCATTATAACATATATTGTTTAATTTAAGATGGGTTATATGGTGTAGTCAGACTTATTAAAATGTTTAAAATCATACTGATTTACAAATATTTTCTATGAACCATGATTTTGACCTTACCCAAATACGAGCAACAGGTTGACAATGTGCCTACCAGTAAATGTTATTTGAGAGTAATCAGCTATATTTAATGACAACATTATATTTTTGTCTCATGAAACATTAGTCCAGTGTACTACTATTGATATAATTACATTTATTTATGACTGTTCTTCAAAGTTTTGTGTAAGCTTGATGATGTATTTTTCTTACTGTATGTCATAATATTAAATGACTGCTTAAATTATAAGTGCTTCAGTGTGAAGTTTCAAATTATTCTTAGTTTATAAGTGCTTTAGTCTAAAAGTAATGAACTAATCACCTATATCTTAGACAAACCTTCCATAATGGTAACCTATTAAAGCTATAAGTACTTCATTATGCTTAGCTTTGTGACAAGCTGAGCTTGGTCCAGTAATGAGTGTGCTGAACTGTAGACCTAAGGTTCCATGGTTCTTGCTCCACTACTGCCAAAACCAAAAATCACTTTAGGACTGTGGGTGCATTATAAGAGTGATGGTAAAATCCCACTATTCGAGTATGGTAACCCATGAGTTGGAAGTAGGCTGTGTTGACTAGCTGCCTTTCCTCTAATCTATCACTTCTAAATTAGGGCTGACTAGTGCAGATATCCCTTGAGTAGCTTGGAGTAAATTCCAGAAACAAACAAAGAGTTCGTCAGAAGTTATAGTGCATCCTTCTGAGATCATTCATATTGTATATCTGATTCATTTAAAACTGCTACTCTCGTGCAATTCACAGCTTGCTTAGAACTACTAAATTTTTCTACATGAAGTCATGTGTAGCTTAGCCTGGACTATAACTGCTTTGCTCTAAAGTCATGCACAGATAAATCACTTTTCCTCACTGAATGTTTTAATTTTTTGATGTAAATAATTGAATATGTGATTATTAATAATTTATACTATATATATAATTTATTTGCACTTTTTTTTTCTTGAAAACTACAAGCAAAAGTACTTTTTGACATGTTTGCAAAGCAATAATGAAGTTAACTTTTGTGAAATTTAAACATAATTTAATATAAGGCAAAACAAAATGGATAGTATATACTGAAATTTTTTGTAAAGTCTTTGTGAAAGCACTATTTTTGATACATTTGAAATTGTTTTTGTTCATTTTTGTGATTTTATTTTCTTCTAAGTTTTGTTCACACACCATCAGGTTATAAATCAGTTCTTTGTGGTTCCTATATTTTGTTTTTTGTGTATAACTGCATTTGGTTTTTGTGTGAGTCCTTAATGTGTTTTTGTGCTTCTTGTCATGCACATGTAGACTTGAATATGAAATTGACACGTGCTGAAGCTGGGTCAAACCATCTGAGTGATGAGCTTAATGCAATGAAGACACGTTTAGCAGGTTTGTGTTTTTTGTTTTGTTTTTCATTAAATCTGCTTCAAGTACACCTATCCATGTAAAAAAACAGGCATATGTTAGCATAGTCCAGGTGACAGTCAGTTTCCTTGATTGAAGTTTTGTTATTGAAAGCTTTATGGTGAAATAATATCCATCAGGGAACTGTAGCATATAAACATTTACTAATCACTCAAAAAACAAGGACCACTTTTTGTGTTTTTTGTAATGTATTTTGAAAAAAGCTAATCCTTTTCACATTTGGCAGCAGTAGTTAAACTTGGAAGTTTTTTTTATGGGATAAAGAATACATTTAGATTCACACAAAAATTGATAAATTTCTAAATGAATTCAGTATGAACTGAGAAACAAAGGAATTTTCATCAAAATTGGATTGAATATTAAATACATGCTTTTGTGAAAACTTAAAAACCCAAAAATTATTTTTTTTTCACATTTTCTTTCTACAAATAAGATATTAATGTAACTTAAGCCATGTAAATTTAATTAGTTGTTTCTCAATCACATACAAGTAGTTATGTAATCTGTAGGGGGGGGGGGTACGATTCTTCTTCCTTCTCCAGTTATTGGCAATATTATTGTTGTTTCAGATAAATATAAAGGTGTGTGTGTGTGTGATTTAGATTTAAGCTACTGGTAAACATTTCTCCACACTGCAGAGATCCATGAATAAACATTACTTTCTCAGCTGATCTTGGTAGACAGTTGCTTATTAGTGTGTTTAAAAATTATTATTTTTTTAAATTGTTCCACCTAAAGTTTCTGAATGTTTTGAAACAAAGGGATTGTCTTCACACTGATTTTTAGCACAATGTAAGCATGCAAAACTGTTCTACTGAATGATTAATTATAAGCTCTATTTGTGTATTTACAGAATGTAATTTCTAAAGTTAGTGTGTGTTTAAATAATTACTGTACATACATATGTTTATATGTAACTGCTTATGCAGGAACTTGAATATTTTAATCTTGCATGTATTTGTGATTCAAATTGTTTTAGACCCGGCGTGGCCAGGTGGTTATGGAGCTCAACTTGCAATCTGTGGCTTGCGAGTTTGAATCCCCCGCCCCACCAAACATGCTCGCCCTTTCAGCCGT